AAAAAACATCTAAACCAGAGGTCTTCAAACTTGGCAACTTTTAAGACTTGTGGACTTCAACTCCCAGAATTCCTCAGCCTGGCTGATGAATTCTGGGAGTTGAAGTCCACAGGTCTTAAAGTTGGTCATCTCATTGTATCGGATAGATCACCGTTGGTCATCTCATTGTATCAGATAGCAGCAAATTATGTTGCTTAATTGTGTCTTGAGTATAGCTCTGAGTTAAAGGCAAGGGGATTGGAAAGAGATTCAGCTATCATCATAGTCTTTACAATCCCATTGACTTACAAGCATTCATTTAGGGCAGTGTTTCTCAACCTTGACAATTTTAAGGCATGTGGACTTCAACTCCCAGAATTCCACAGCCAGCATTGCTGGCTGTGGAATTCTGGGAGTTGAAGTCCACATGCCTTAAAATTGTCAAGGTTGAGAAACACTGATTTAGGGATTGTTCAAAGTTACAGTGGCAAAGGGATTTACAACTGGTCCTTGAACTTACAAACCATTGCAGCATGCCCATGAGCACGTGATCAAAATTCAGACATTTGGCATCCGGCATATATTTAGGATAGTTGCAGCATTCCAAGGTCACATGACTGCCATCTGTGACCTTCCCAGCCATCTTCCGACAAGTAATGTCAATGGGGAAGCTGGGTTCCATGATTCATTTAACGACTGCAGTGATTCACTTAACAACTGTGGCAAAAAAGGTCATAAAATCAGGCATGATTCGCTTAACAACTTCCTTGTTTAGCAATAGAAATTCCGGTCCCAATTGTGACTGTAAGTCAAGGACTATCTCAGGGGTAGACAACCTTGGCTCTTTTATGACTGGTGGACTTCAACTCCCAGAATTCCTGAGCCAGCATGGCTCAGCTTGGAAACCTCTCACTTTCCCCTCAGCATGGCTGGCTCAGGAATTCTGGGAGCTGAAGTCCACCAGTGATAAAAGAGCCAAGGTTGCCTACCCCTGGACAAGCTGTATCTTCATAGGTGCCATAAGTCCAGCCAGCCATTACTGAAAGGATATAAACCCTTTCCCCTGTTACTATTACTTTGACACAAGGGTCAGGTGACTCTGGAAAAGGGAATTAATCGCTTCTGTGGGAAACAGCTTCCCTTCAGGCGTTTACTCAGCCTTTCTCAGGAAGTGAGCCTGAGCAGGATTAGGAAATAGATTTCCTGCTTGCCAAATATGTAGTCCATTGTTTTTTCTGAAAGTTAAGATTCCCCAACAAGAGTGGTACAGCAATGACATGAATGTCAGATTTAAGAATAGGTGCCTCTGAGCATTCTGGGATATGGCGCTTGTTTTGATTATGCACTTATTATTAACGGATCACATCTGTCCTTCAGGTGAGAGTATAGATTGAATGCAGTTGGAGATCAAGTCAAGAGCAATACAATTTGAAACAAATTCTAGGGAAATGTACCACCTAGCGGGTATAAAAGGTACTGCAACAATTCCCAGTTGCTATTATCCTGAGCATTTCTAGCCAGAATTGCTCAACTCATAACATTATGAAACCTTTACTTTTGAATCCTCCTCCTCCTCCTCCTCCTCCTCCTCCTCCTCCTCCTCCTCCTCCTCCTCCTCCTCCTCCTCCTCCTCCTCCAGTTTTTGCATTAACCCAACCTGCTTAACATGCCATCTTGAAAAGCAAAAACCTCACTTTTTTTTATCATGTCTAGAAAATAATTGATTTGATTTGGTTACTGGTCTATTTATTTTATAGGTTGTCCAGCCTGAAGAATTCTGAGGAACATCAATATTTCTCAGTGCCTTGTGATGTTGCAGTTATCTTGGTGGAGAAAATGTTTTTTTGTTGTTGTTGTTTTTAAAAGGAATGACAATATAGCTTGTCAAAATACTGGCTCACAGGTAGCGTTATAACGTAGGCATGGGAAAGCAAGCTATGTATAAAGATCTCCAGGAAATAGACCCTAGATTTGATTACGGACGCAACAGATTTCAACAGAGGATTGCACAAAGCTGTCTACATATCATCTTAAGTTATAACGTTATTTGTTTGGATTTGAACCCAGTCACTGTGATTATATGGCTTAGAACATTGTGGATTAATAAACTATGATTACAATGAACCATCCAGGTTAGAGAAGCTATTTACAAAAGATTAAACTCATCCAGAAAACTCCTTGTAGTTTTCTTAGTAACATTATGGAAATTTTTGGCCTTTTGTCTTCTTCCAAAATATTTTTCTTACAGTACTATCTAGTCTAGCCTTCAACCCTAGTATTTTTTGCTAGCCTTAAATACTAAACTGAAATTTTCTGGTATATCCCCAATACTAACCAAGTCTTATCTTGCTGTAGTTTTTTTTCAGACAGGGTCGGCTAGATGCTCTACCAGCATATGCAATTTTTTTTTAAAAAAGAAAACTTACACTTTTTATAAGATTCAAAACACAAACCTAATATGTGTTTAATAAAGACAAATTGGGCAGGTATCTTCAACAGGATTTTGAACTGAACAGTGTGATTTTTCATACGGAAAACATTCAAAGGACAGAAACCTCAGATGTTGCTTAGCTTCCTCTATGAAAAATTTATCTAGCTAACCGCACCAGGCAACGGTCTATCATTAGGCTGCAGTTTCAGACAGAAGCTCTCATTGGCTGATTCATGGGGAAGAGCACCATTTGAAACATTCTCAGAAAACAAACAAATCGAAAGTGACTGTGAATTTCTACACACTGCCACACAAAGCTGCATCTCCTTATCCACAGGTGTAGATAAGCACACAAAAGTTAGGGCAGGGGCAAGTAGATCGAGGCAGCATAAGCATAAATTCTTGAGACCTGATCTGCAAGGAGCTAGTTTTCAGTTCTATGGAAGGAATTTACTTATTTATAAATTCTCCCAAGTTTCTAAAGTGAATTGTGCCAGCTCCATTCAGATGATCCCCAGCCAAGAGTATTTGCACTTGGAGCTGGAATATTGTTTTCTCCTTGGGAAACATAACTGAGACTGGAACAAGATTAAATCAGCAAAATGCATGCACTGTACGCTTCATGATAAAGCTATAACCAGATCCATTTACACCAAATAGCATTTTAAAATACTATTTGGAATAGCAAAAATATTTTTTTCTGCAGGACATTTACAGGACTATTTTCTATAGATCTGTCCAGGAGCAACTCTTATTACGTTTTATACTGTGGAATTTATCCTAGTTAAGTAGGCACAACATTGCATCATTAGTACCCAGGTATTATTCCCCAAGGCCTTCTTAAAATAGCTGAACTGTGACCGCAAATAAGCCTTAGCAGAGGAGATATTTCATTCTGCATTCTGCCTTACAGAACAAAAAATCAGCATATTGACTGTCACATGGAACTGCATCAGCAGCCAGAGCAGTTTTCAATTATGATTGAAAATAATTGTTTTATTAATTTATTAATAAAATATTTAATATTTATTAAAAAATAATAATTGTTCCTGCTCTCTGGAACAATCCCAGAGGTGAGATTGGCTCCCACACTCCTGTCGTTTCCAAAGACCCTCAAGACCTGGCTCTGCTGGATGGCTTGGGGACCCAACGGGGGAGCTTCATATGGGAAGTAGTTGATTAATTAAAACCTAATTCCACCTCCAGAATCGAGGCCTTTGAACTCTGGTGCTGGAGAAGACTCCTGTGAGTCCCCTGGACTGGAAGGCGATCAAACCGGTCAATCCTAGAGGAGATCAACCCCGACTGCTCTTTAGAAGGCCAGATCCTGAAGTTGAAACTCAAGTACTTTGGCCACCTAATGAGAAGGAAGGACTCACTGGAGAAGAGCCTAATGCTGGGAAAGATGGAGGGCAAGAGAAGAAGGGGACGACAGAGAATGAGGTGGCTGGATGGAGTCACTGAAGCAGGAGGCGTGAGCTTAAATGGACTCCAGAAGATGGTAGAGGACAGGGAGGCCTGGAGGAATGTTGTCCATGGGGTCACGATGGGTCGGACACGACTTCGCAACTAACAACAAAATCCCACCTTCCCACCCTGTGAGTCCAGCTCCTGCCTTTCCCATCTGGTTTTAATGGTTCATAATTATGAATGGTTTTACCGGTATCTGATGTGTGCCATGACTGTCAATTTTAATATCTTTCCTTTTTTAATGATTTATGTTTTAAAACATTAAAAACATTATGCCCAGAGATGTTGGATACGAGATGGGCAGCAAATAAAATTTCTAAACAAACAATTTAAGGAAATGAGATCCAGCACAAACAAATGGAACCACCACGTTTTTCTCTATCAAAAGATTTGAAACATTTTCCAGGAGAGTCTCATATAGGGTACATTAGAATAATTTTAATATAAAATTGCTAAAGAATAAATGAGTATGGTCAGATCTGTTTTCCAATCCAGAAGTAGGGAGTGTTGATTTTATCAGCCAAAATATACTCCTAAGTCATAGACACAACTTGATTTCTGGGAACTGTGTTGCAAATCAGGGTGTGTACATTAGGCTCTGTACTTCTTTCACAGAAATGAACAATAAACAAAATTATTCATCAATGTTTTATAGCCAAGCATGTCCAATAGAACTACTATCAGAGAATCTATGTTGCTTTAGCTGAACCTGAACAGACAATCAGATTAAGCTTTGTGCCTGTTGATGCTTGAATTAGGACATTACTTGAAGAACAAGTATTTAAGAAGCAGAACAGTAATCCTAACAAAAACAGATGAGATTTAAGGATGAAGCCAAGCTTGCAGATAATATCCAGATGTTCTGTACTTCAATTGACAAAACTGTCCATCTATTGTTTTTATTGACTCCTAAAATAGGCCATGTGAACCAGTTGTCATTTTTCAAAACTGCTTCTAGACATAACAATGAAAGAGATGTCAACATTCGCTCAAACTCAACTCCTTGCTCAAAAAAACATGTCTGTCTGTCTGTCTTCACCACACAGTAAAATTCTATCCTGGAAAAGTTAACAAAATATAATTCACTTAGCTAATAAGAACAAAAAAAATCATATTACAATTCATGGGTCAATTCAGACTTTTATTTTTTTTAAAAAAAGTCATGAACTCAATAAATTACACAATAATTTCTCCCTTAATAAATTTTTCACAAAATAAAATTTACAATTTAGAGAAGGCTTTGAAACTCCTCTCTTTTGAAGTGCTGATGAGTTTTTTTTTTTCTTTTATGTTACGCTGGTGGATTGTTCTGTAACTGCTACTATTGGTTTCAAAGACTTACAGGAAATCAAACCAAACACAAGCAACAACAAAAATCACACAGAGATTTTAAGGGATAATTATTCAGTAGGTAATAAATGGAACAATCAAGTTGGCATTCAATGCCAACATACTAAGCACCATGAATAGAAGTGACCAGGGAAGTTTCCCCAACTTTTAAAATAAGAAACAAGTGCACTTTTAAAATTAACTGTGTTACTGGGCAATATTGTAATTCACTCTATTTGTAGATTCTGTACAGCACTAAAAGGTACACCAAATAATATATCCAAAACCTGAAAGACTTGTTAAGTGCCAAGAAACTGTATGTAGTAATCAGACTAGTTAGGACATATATGACTGAGAGTTCCTGGTTTTTCTAATACACAAGGACTGTCAAGATCCTGCACTCATATTCTTTCTGTTTAACACAAATATTATGTAATTGTTCAGCTGATGGGAGATACAATGTCATTAAGCACAGGATAACCACAGAAGTCATCCTATATGCAATGCAATCTTGTCTCTAAAGGCACAAATGGTGCTTTAAAGAATGAAGACGTTTGTTTACTTTGAAACACTGATATTCTAAAAGTATGTAAGTTGAGCCCTTGTCTTATACTCTCAGTTAAAGGACGGACATTACCTGGATCTTCAGCTAAAACAATTTAGCACTGCAAGCCAGACATATGCTATCCCATTGAAATTCTCTTAAAATATATCTGTGTTAATGTGACATTTCTTTAAATGTTATTTTAGCGAAGATTTTTAATTTGATTTTTTCCAAAACTGTATCAATTATTAAAGTAACAATCCTATGCATACTTATTAAACTAACAATCCTATGCACACTTACCTCACTAAACTCTGTGAGACTTCCTTCCTATTAGCAAGCAAAGGATTATACTACATGACTGATAACTACACTGAACAAAAAAAACATGTATTTTTCAAGTTTTAGAAATATATTCCCTTGAATGTCCCCTTGTTTAATGTGGACATAGCAGCTAAGGAATAAACAAATACCTTTTCTTATCTACTTTTCAGATTCTAGGCATATCAAACAAGGATTTTAAAATATAATTTCTACAGTGCTTCTTGTAAGAAAACATAGGGCAATTCACTTTCTGGTTTCTGTGCTGTAGCCGATGGCACCAGGACAGTTTCAACCTGTACAATAAAAAGTTCTTGACAACAAAATGAAGACATATAATACACTATGTCCTCTCAATTTACTCATAAATTGAGTTTTCATTTGCACCAGGTTTGCAATTCTTTTTAATTGTATGTATGAACAAAATGCTGCAACCTGCAAGTCAGTAACTTGGAAGAGAAGCAGGTTGCTGAGTGCTTCAGAGGAAAACAAAAACAGGGAAAGATTCACTTTAGCAGTACAGGCTCCAGTTATGATCCAGTACAGTGACGACAGTACTAATGGACCATCAGTATGGCACAACAATAGCGGAATGAACATTTAGGCTTCTGGTTCAACTACTTATACGTGCCTCTGTCTGTACATGTGTTAGGAAAACAGTGGCCAACTTTCTATAATTTTCACCCAAACTGTATGGGGAACAGAAGTAATGGATCTCAGCCAGACAACAAACTAAATCTTGAGGGTACCATAGTTGAAGATTTTCAGAAAAATCTTCCTTTTTAAAAAAAAACAAAGCTAGTTTTTAAAAAATCCTGAATTAAAATAAGACTGAAAATCAAATACAAAATATAGGTGTGACCAGTAACTGTGGGTCTACCAAATAATCATTTGGTTATTCTTGAAAAATATAGCTAAATGTATCACGGCAAAGTGTTGGCACCTCAACTGGAATGAGCCATCAGCATATTTAATACAACCTTCCGAACAAACGCAATCTTCAAAACTAAAATTTTTCCTACAGTGCTTGAATCAGAGGTTTCTTGTGCATCATATTGTAGACCTCAATTTGTCTCATCACATTGTTTTATGGGGAAGAAAAAGGAATGGACACAGAAACTGGCGTATCAAAGAATGTGTCACAATCATTCAATTCTATGAATTCTATAAATTTGGGACATATCTTTTCCATACTGGAAGGGGTTACATCACCCATAGTGACATAAATATATACACATTTACTCTACAAAGTTGACTGATGATTTGCATTACCAGCACGCAAGTCTTCTCCTTCAAGGACATTCAAGATTCTACAGTAAGAAATTGGAATGTTTGAAATATTCCATAAAGTATTTCTAGAAAACCATTGCCTAACTTGTTAATTGTCCTGACAAGATGGAAAGCTTGTTATAGATGTAGTTTGGGAATATACATATTTGGATACTGAAACAAGAACAACCTTTTGCTTAGCTTACAAAAATAAAGAGAAATGCAGTGGGGAAAAGATATGGAACCCTGACACTTAAAAGGTGAATTAGTCTGGTTTTTTTGCTTCTTTAAAATGCTGCACCATTGTTATACACATTCCTGCCAAAAAGGCAAAGTACTTCTTCACAGGTCACGTGTCCCAACTGCTGTCTTTAAAAGCAATTTTGACTAACCGGAGTTCTAGTTCAAAAGCATCTGGCCGGTCTTGTGGGTTAGCAGAAAGCATTTCCTTAATCAGCTGTTTCATGCAAGCGTTCATTTTCTTTTTCTTAACAGGTATGAGTAGTTCCATTTTTGGATTTTCCAGCAATGCCTCTCCAACGGGTACAATCTCAGTCCCTTGTTTCACGTAACTGCCCAAGAGTTCTTTCTTCGTCTCTGTGTCTATGAAAGTGATCCTTTCTAACATTGCCCAGATTATAATCCCCAATGCAAAAATGTCTGCTTTGGCAGTGTAATGACCTTCCCAAACTTCAGGAGCCATGTAGAAGTCTGTGCCACAAGCTGTAGACAGAAAACATTTATTTACATTCACAGGCTCTTCAGGATTTTGTCCTGATGCTGAACAAACCTTGCTTAGGCCAAAGTCTGCTACTTTCAAAGTAGGTTCCAAGTCACTAGCATCCATCCTGCTTTGAGAGATCAAGATGTTGTCAGGCTTGAGGTCACGGTGAATGATCTGATTTTTGTGCAGAAAAGCCAGGGCGCTGCTGAGCTGAAGCATAAAACTAGTGTTGGTCTTACGGCTGGGCTTTCGGGATAGGAGGTATTCATTCATATCACCTCCATCACAAAAATCCATCACAAACCAAAGATAGTAGGCACTTCTGGGATCAAAGGCAATTTCACCTTTCAAGGAGGTCTCTACAAGCTACAACACAAAGATATTTCAGGTATATATTGAACATACATGATTCAAATCCCAATGTACAGCACATTAATCAAACCATGAGGTATCAAGGCATGAATGACTATCCAAGGGCCCCGAATCTAGGAAAATGCTGGCTTCTAAACAAAAAAGGAAATCATAGTTTGGAACTATGTTCATTTAATATCATTTTCCATTTGCTCAACAGAATTTTCTGTTCTTTAGTGTAAGGGATTCTCTTACATCATTTATGTCTGGATGCACTAGAAAAATTATATGAATTACATCATTTCATTCTCTCCTGCAAATGCCTATATGTGGTTTATAAAACTAATCCAAACTACTCTTTCATTTCTGATTTGTCAGCTAAAACTGTGTTTACATATTATGCTAATCCAAAATGTTATGAGTTTGGCTTGGGCTAACTTCATTATTATTATTATTATTATTATTAAATCCTTACGGCTTATAAGTGATGGTTTATTGCTGTTGTGTAAACCAAACCTTTATAGCTTAATAAACCATAATTGTCCATGTTAAATGATAAACACTACAAACTATAGGTAGATATCATAGATTACCATTATGAACATAAATGCCAAATGTTAATTTAACTCTTGGTAATAAAACTTACTTAATGGACCACTGAGCACAACTCTTTATTTGTGTAACTGTGACCAGACTAACCTGAAAAAACAATAAAATAGCACAGCTACAAAACAAAAGGCTTTAGCTTTTAATTTTCAAAGTTAATTTTAAATGTCCCAAGTGTATTTCTATATTCCATTAATGAAATATATATTGCTGAGCAGGTCTTTTGGTAATCTGCTTAAAAATAAATCCGGCATAAAAAGAAAACTAATTTGTTTTCATAGACTTTCATAATTTTGTAGCATACTGGATGGGGAGGACAATTAACCTGACAAGAACTTGACGTTGGCATTTTAAGAAGAGACTTCTAATATATTATTTTAATAGCATTTATTTTTGATCTTATTAATCTCAATATATAATTGAGTTCAAAGAACAAAATAAATTTCATTAGAGTTGATCAAGCTATTTCTTTTTTTTTTAAAGTGGTCTCACATTAAAAGAATTATTAATGCACCTTTTCCCAATGGGAACAATTTTTCCTTACAATGCTACAAAAATTATTTACCCAAGATAAATAACCACATTTCTGCTTAAACAAGCACTTAGAGACAATTAACTGAATGTCCTGGCTTCCAATGTTCCTCAGTGGAAGTGTACTCTGTTGTTTCCCTGAAGGTTCATGTTGCTTAGTGACAAGATTTTTGAAATATCTAAAACTATATCAAATACAGAAAAGCAAACATATTTGCTTTCCCGTATTTATAAGGAATGGCAATCTCTATTTCACTGTTTGGTAATCAAATAGCTGACTTTTTTTTTTTTTACCTTTAATGCAATGTCTCTTTCATTATTTACAACTTTATTACCTGTAAATAAAGTGAAGAACTGGAACCATGGGACATCTTCTGAACCATGCCGTCTTTTTGCAATATGCATTCCTCCAAGTGGATTACATTTGGGTGTTGGCTTTTAATACTACTAAGTGCCCAGAACTCACGCAAGGCTAATTCTACATTCTCTGGAGCATGACATCGAATTTTCTTCACTGCAACACGCGCAGAGGTTTTCCTTACAACTGCTTCATATACCACACCATAGCTGCCATGACCAACCTCTCTTATTAGATCGTATTTTGGCTGGCTACTCACCATCTTCAAGGTCAAGGTGTCTATGGAAATAAAAACAAAAAATATAGCTGATTTTTGTTTTCACACAAGATAAAATGGAGTTTTTGTTAATCCAGTCACTGTAGCTGACAAAATAACGCATGATTTATTGCTTAACATTTTGCACATTTGAAGCAATTAGTTTAGTCAAGAAACTATTATTTAACATGACATATGAATTCAGTCATATAATATAATGTATCTATTCAACTGCTAGCTGTTAGAATGAAAGTCTTAAGCAGTTTGGTATAAGCTTATTTGATAATCTTTTTGCAGCTTTATGAACTTGTCAAGGCCTAACATAGCTCACCTGGCTGCAAGTATAATCTATCATTTCAGAGAACAGGAGAAAACAATTCTGGTGCTAAGAACTATCTCACTGTAGAAAACATATCTGGAGTTTTACTGATGCAGTAACTATAGTTTAAAAATGTAATAAATGCTGCTATTTATGGCTAACTTTAAATGTTTCTACCATTTTTTTCATATTTTGCAAGCCACCTTGAAAAACCTTTATATTCTAAAATGCAGTATGAATAACAAACAAAACCTCATTACTGGTACTCCACTTTGCTACTGGTACCCCCCAGTAGGACAGTAAATAATGCTGATACGAATATACTTCTGTTAGTCTTTAACATTTGATAATATGTAAAAATATTACAAACAAAATACTCAGCAACATTAAGAAAGTCATATAAAGATGCATGAAAGTATAAAACAAAGGCATATATACTTTAACAATCCAGAAATGGGCACCCTGTTTTTTTCTATGAAATGAATAAGATTGAATAAAGCTCAGTATAGGGGAGGATATGTTTTAGCTATCTTTTTCTTATAGCAGTAGGAAAACAATGCTGAGATCACAATAATCAAATGAAACAAGGAATGCTGTTAAATATCCTCCAATGGCAGAAAAAAAGGAGAATGTATTATACACATAGCATATTTGAGCAGAGAGCTGTGTTGGATAATTCATAGCTATTCAAATAGCTTTTCACAGCCACTGAAAGTTACAGAAATACATCAGGACAATTTTAATGTATGGCTCTGCTTCTACTCATTCCCTTCCCCATTTAACTTTCACTTATCTTCATAAACCCATTTTTAAAATAAAAGTGTAAATAAACTGGGTCAATCTGTGCAGCAGCAAAACATATTTTCTGCATATATTTATCTAACGGACAAAATATCAACTTCCTTGCTGGTACCTTTGCTCAGTTCTGAACATTCTAGTAGGGTTGGCTAGAATTTTACCCACCACATTCTAAAGATAACAATGCAGGCTTATAGTTGTTATGGAAATATCTTCTTAGGGGCAAAATTATTCAACTCCCCCCAACTGACTTGATCCCACTGCTCAGCTGAACTCTCTGTCAGGCTGACCTTAGGCCAGTGGTTCTCAACCTGTGGGTCGGGACCCCATTTGGGGTCGAATGACCATTTCACGGGGGTCGCCAAACAACGCAGTCCACCATTTTTTCCCCCTTTTCCTTAGCTGTGCTACTCCCTTTTATTCTATTGGCTTTTGAAAGCCAATAGAATAGACTCTCTTGAATAGAGTCTAATTCTATTGGCTTTCAAAAGCCAATAGGAATTGTCCAGGCTGTCTCTGCCCTGCTGAGCCTGCCAAAAGTCCCATTCTGCAAACGGAGCTGCACCAGTTGAGTAGTCCTCGACTTACGACCAGTTGAGTAGTCCTCGACTTACGACCGGTTGGGGGGTCACGGCCTTAAAAAGGTTGAGAACCACTGCCTTAGGCCAAGTCAAGCATATCATACTCCTATGAAGCAAAAGCAGCACCTGGGTGGAAAAGGTCCAAATTCTCCTACTCAGTTCAGGAGGAGAATTGTCAACAGGGATATGAAATTAACCCCCGAGGAACCCAATTTCCTCTTTCACAACCTGGAGGGGGATGTCAGTGCAGCCCTTTGCAACCCAGGCGCGTTTATTGAGGAATAGGCCCCACTGTAGCTCGGCTCGGTCTAATCTACGCTGTGGGCCTCGTCAAAGGGGACTCCCAAAGATGCACCAAACGCTCCTGCACCGCCAAGCGGAAGGAGAGGGCAACGGGCCGGTGCCCACCGGAAAGAAGCCGGAAACCTCCCATTTGGGGGGTCGACATCTCAGCCGAGGCCAGCGGGGGAACAGGACAAGGCAACGCCACCTTTAAAGACCCGAACCCGGCAGTCTACCCACCGTCGACCTTTGGCCCCGGGCTCGCCCTCGGTCGCCGCCGCCGCCGCCGCCACCGCGGGTGGCTCCCAAGCGCTTGGCCGGCTGCAGCCGCGAAGAGCGTCCCCGGCCGGCCTCATTCTCCACCGCTGCACCGGACTCGACAGCCCGGCGTCAAGCTAGGTGTGAACGGGCCGGGGTTGGACAGCCACGGCGGGTGCTTCTGTATTGGGACACAGACGGCCTCCCGCAGCGACCCGCCGGGCGCGGGAAAGCAGGCGGCCGTGGTAGCGAAAGCCTCGCCCGCAGCACCAAGGCCGGAGACACGGGCGCCCAAGGGCCGGGCCGCTCGCTGCAGCCTCCATAGGCGCAGGTCAGGGGCGCGCACCAGCCGCTCGCCGTGCTCTCCGGGCCTGTCAAAAGGCGTCCTCGCCGCCCTGGCGCGCCCCGGCCTCCCGAACGCGGCCGAGCGTCGCTTTTAATGCTTATCTTTACCTCAGAGCTGCCGCCGAGCTCTCTCCTCCTGGCCGCCATTATCGGGCTCCCTTCCCCCCCTCCTTTACTTCTCCCGGGTTCCCTGACACACCCCCTTCTGGGCCCGCCGCGCGCACCCCGAGGGGCGTGGCCGCGGTCCGGGAAGTCGGCCTCGGCGCTTGCTCGGTCCGCTTCTCTGATTGGTTGCAGGAGAGGCAGGCCTTTGGCGTCCATTTCACGGGTTGGGGAAGGGAGCGCGGGGGCGAGCGCGCGCCCCTTCTCATTGGCTGCCTATCTGTCGCTCTCTCTCTCTCTCTCTCTCTCTCTCTCTCTCTCTCACTCACTCTCGTCGCGTGCTCTGTATTAACCTCGCGCGCTTGCCCGGGACCCTGCAGAGGGGGTGTTTGCGTGCTCGGAGTGTTGCATTGCTTTGCGTTGCGTTGCGTTGCGTTGTTTGCATTGCGGCACCAAAATGCGGCGGGCCCCTTCTGACCTCTGCTGCGGTGCAGTTCTCCCACCAGTATTCCAGTATTTGAGGAGCTGCCACAAAGAAGAGGGCTTCAGACTATTCTCCAAGGCACTAGAGGGCAAGACAAGAAACAATGGTTGGAAACTGATCAAGGAGAGAAGCAACCTGGAATTAAGGAGAAACTTCGTGACAGTGAGGACAATTAACCAGTGGAACAGCTTGCCTCTAGAAATCATGGGCGCTCCATCACTGGAGGTTTTTAAAAAGAGGCCAAACAATCTCCTGTCTGAGATGGTATAGGTTCTCCTGCTTGAGCAGGGGGCTGGACTAGAAGACCTCCAACGCCCCTTCCAGTTCTATTCTATTCTATTGGAATGGAGCAGGAGGTTGCTCGGAGTAGAGGGCGATCCCGGACGATGCACGACGGATTTTCCGGGGAGGTTTGGGTCGTGATGACAGCTTGTTCCAGCGGCTGACCTTCGCGCACGCAACCTCTCTCTCCAGGGAGCTGAGGCCGTGTTTAGTTGCGCCTGCTAGGCTTTTCACCTCCTTTTGCAGCCATCTCCGCAGCCCGCGCTGCCCCCTCTTCGACTGGTTTCCCCCCTACCCAAAGCCTACCGTGGCTACCATCACCTGGAGATCTTCCTGCTGGATCTGTTTGCATCTCTCATCTTTGTTTTCCTTCCTCTAATTTAGTGTTGGCACACGTTTGATGCTTAATGGTTTTGCTAATTTAGCTTAAAAAAGATGAGGGAGAAAATCCGGTTTTCATCATAAATAGTTGGTTATTATTTTCTTAGCCTGGGGCTGATAGGTGGCATTTTTGGGTGGCTGCCTTTTCACCACGCCAGGCCATGGAGATACCTTCTTCTTTGTATGCTGCAGGGATGTGAAGGTTGAAATCTGATGGTGAGGTTTTTCCCACACTTCTCTTCTGCAGCTGGAAAATACAGCTGTTTGTATTTTCCCTTAAAGCAGCGGTTCTCAACCTATGGGTCGCGACCCCATTTGGGGTCGATCGACCATTTTACGGGGGTCGCCAAACAATGCGATCCGCCATTTCCCCCCCTCAGGGGGCGGCGCCGCGCATACGCGCCGTGCAGGGGGGCGGCGCCACGCATGTGCGGCACGTTCGTGTGACGGGGGTCGCCGTCACACAAACGTTGAGAAACGCTGCCTTAAAGGGACACTGCTTCTTATTTTTCATAACTAAGAAGCAGATCTATGCAGAATGTGGACAGGTGTAATGCGTTGGAGAGAATGCACCACATCTACTGTATGATGTGAACTATAGGGAGTGCCCATTCAAATGTAGGACTCTACTTTTTTCTCAGAGTATCTGATTTGTTTTTTGTTCAGAATTTTCTCAGCTATATTTTCCCCACAGCTCTGTCCTGCAATGTTTTAACAAGCCTGTAGAGGGCTGAGAAATCTGTATTTATTTAACAATCAAATTTATGGATTTATCTACCAAATTTATATAGTTGCCTATCTACCCGAGGCAATTCTGGGCAGCACATAACAAATGTGTAAAACCACAGATGTAAAAATATAAAATGATATTAACAGTATATATTACAAAAACATATATATTAATATTTATTGATAAATATAATTATATTTAGATATTTATGTAGATTAACCTGGATCTGCCCATGTTAGAGTTTTTGATGTTAGTCAGCATGGGCTTAGGGAGGTAGCGTTGGAAGTTAGAGGGTGAAATGTTAGATGCCTCATCTAAATTCAGAGTTCTGTGCAAACATGCTGAAATATGCATTATAGAATTCTTCAGGAGCAAATATATTGTGAAGATAATGAGCATTGTAGCCACACAATGGATGCTACTAGGTTGAGAAAGTTGACTCCAGCTGTAGAACTGGAGGGTGCAACTGTTACATCTTTTTTCCTTCAGTTTCTAGAACTTCTAAAGATTTACATGACTGGCTGGGAAATTCTTGAGAATTCTAGCATTTAGACCAGGAACATTTAAGCTCAGTGCATGGAATATTCAAATTGTAATAGAACTACTAAATATTGAGATATTGAATTTCAGGCAAAATTTATTTTTCTGATGCAACTTCAGAAGTAAAATAAGGGACAGGGAAAGTGGCCCTCAGAGAACTGAGTTCAAGTTTGACCAGTGTATTTTCAAATCTTCCTCAGAAAAGGGATCCTAGAATCCCAAGATAGAATTGCAGAAATAATTGGTTCGCTGTTCAAAGGTTCACATGTTTTCAAGATCTTGCTGAATAAAGAGACGCTGATGTGCCTGTTGTTTTGTCCAGGAAAGTAGTGCTCAGCCTTTGTGATAAAGAGTTACTTCTCCAATTTAATTAAAAACTGGGAGATGGTTGTTATTAAGAGAGGACAGGAGAGAGAGCAGGAATCTGATCTATCATATCTGCCGTAAATTACATTTAGGGGTGTTTGTAAATATATAGCTATATATAAAATTTGTAACCTATATTCTTAACTCTTGCCATAAAATTCAACTATTTTACTTAGATTGTCTGTACTCCATTGGAATTATGTTGCATTTATTACATTCCCTTGCTCTTTTGCTTTGCCCCTTTTTTCAAATTAAAAACCTTGTAGCTGGGGCAGTTTTATACCGAATTATTTGAACCTCTGAAGACTTTGGTGAATACACTTGGAATTCTGCATCCAGTTTTGGTCACCGCGATGTAAAAAAGATGTTGAGACTCTAGAAAGAGTGCAGAGAAGAGCAACAAAGAGGACTAGGGGACTGGAGGCTAAAACCTATAAGGAACGGCTGCTGGAATTGCGTCTGTCTAGTTTAATGAAGAGAAGGACGAAGGGGGACATGATAGCAGCCTTCCAATATCTCAGGGGCTGCCACAAAGAAGAGGGAGTCAAGCTATTTTCCAAGGCACCTGAAAGCAGGACAAGAAGCAACGGGTGGAAACTAAGCAAGGAGAGAAGCAACCTAGAACTAAGGAGAAACTTCCTGACAGTGAGAACAATTAACCAGTGGAACAACCTGCCTCCAGGAGCAGTGAATGCTCCAACACTGGAAGTTTTTAAGAAGGGACTGGACAGCCATTTGTCCGAAATGGTATAGGATTTCCTGCCTGAGCAGGGAGTTGGACTAGACGACCTCCAAGGTCCCTTCCAACTTTACTATATTATTATTATTATTATTATTATTATTATTACAACATATATAATATGCCTGCTGGTATCTTTTGGTTTACAATTTGCTTGTCCAAAGACGCAGCACTTAACCAGAATGCTAGAAATACAGTTAATCAGTTTTATTCTGGTATGTTTTCAGCATAATACTGCCTAGCCAAATTTTTCACAAACTCAGGAAAAAGTGTGTGTGTGTGTGTATGTGTCAAAACAGTCCCCCCAGCTATCTATAATAGAGTTGTCATTAAGATTAGGTTGTTTCAGAATATCTGTCGGAAGAGGGCGCCTTAGAGCTTCAGAAGGAGCTTAACGTTGTGTCTGCCACAATAGAAAAAAGGCAGAGGAATCCTTTGGTTCAATATTGGTACCAACACTTCAGTCCTATGGAATCCCCTGATCCGTTTCTGTGTGGCAATGCTCAGTTCAGTGGCATGGAAATGAATGTGCTACCAACATCTTTATTTGGCTGGAAGGATGTAAGATAACAGGAGAGCTCTGCCTATTTGTGAGGACCAATATGAGTTTTGCAAAATGAGAAAAAGATGCAAAGGGAGACTTTTGCCACTCTGCAGGAAAAGATACAAAAGGGGGGCATAAAATAGAGAAACTCCCCTATGAAGAAAAACTGCAGTTTTTCTAATTTAGAATAAAGGTGGGTAAGAGAATTAAGGTTGAATTATAGAAAATCATGCAGGTAACAAAAAAAAAGATGGGGGGAGTATTCTATGTGTCAACGCTGCTAATATTGAATATTCTTGCTTTGACAAAATATGCAGAACTGTCTGGTATTTTTAGAGTTAATTCAGATGACAGAGAAAAGGGAGAGGAAATAACAAAAGCCCGGGAAAAGGAACGGAAGTGAATCTCTGCCCTCTGGGCTAATTGGAAGATGTGACTTGTGACTGCAAGATAAGGGAGGGGTTTAGCCAGAAAAGTTAGATGCCAGCAAGAAGAATTTAGATTCTGGCATAAACCTCCATGATGTGCCATCAATTTGTAACACTGGTAATAAAGGCTTTAGGATAAACATGCCTGGAAGTTCTTTGAAGTGTTTCATTAGTCGGAACCATGACACTATACTTTTCACAATAATAAAGTTCAGTCATGCATTATTATCAATTCAACAATTATAGCCTATTAAGAGAATAACAAAATTACAGACTTGGAAGGGACCGTGGAGGTCTTCTAGTCCAACCCCCTCCCTGTTCAAGCATTAGACCTTATTATACCATGTTTGTATATATCATGTTTGGCAGGAGACCAAAGGCTGCAATAGGTAGGAAAACCTGCAAAGTGGCTGGACATTTACTAGTTTGAAATAGTTGAAGGAATTTTTTTTAAACTCTGAGAAATCTATTTTAGATATTGCT